GTATTACTAACAAAAAAAAAAAGATATTTGAATGAAAGATACATTGCCTGAGAAGCACAATTAACACATGTGGTGTGTTATTCAAATTGTTTTTTATTAAAAATGTAATAAGTTGCTGTCTTCTCCTCCTCTAGATTGTTTACTAAACGAAGAGAATTTCTCAGTGAGGTGCCCCAAGCACAAGGTAAGAATCCTCACCTGTATTAGACCTGGTTTTTTTTGCTGTCCTCTTCTGGTATTTAAATCTGCTTTAATAGTTTTATACCTGGATAACATTTGTAATCAGAGGTGCTTTTTTCTTCTGTGGTGCGTGCTTGCAGTATATTCTGGGGGCACACATCAACTTTAGAAGAATACAGGGAGTTTAAGAAGATAAGTGAAGATTTTGCCATGTCTGTTCAGTCGTTCTTTAGATTCTTTATACGTTAGAACCAGCTTCTTTTCCTGCCTTCTGTGATAGAACTAAAATGCTGCTCACTGCATCGGTTCAAGTGCTTTGTTGAAACTGTGGTTTTATTTTTCTTGGATTTACTGAGGGTGCAAGAAGGAAGAAGTAATAGCTCATGGAAGGGTTTCAACAGCTTTGGGAAAGCTGAAGCATTTAGACTACATCATGAACCATTGTTGTCTATGTGAAATACCTTGTCCTAGTGTTGTGGTTTAACCCAGCAGGTAGCTCAGCATCACACAGTCGTTTGCTCACTCTCCCCTCTTCCAGTGGGATGGGGAGAGAATAAAAACAAAAAATAAACAAAAAAAAACCCCAACAAAGTAGAATTCAAGAATTGAGATATACTATTTCCTAAGAGAAAAGCAAAAGGAATATTGTTATGACCATATATATATAGCAAGTGATGTGCAAACAATTGCTCGTCATCCCCTGACCAATGCCCAGCTACCCCAGTGAGCTGAACTTCCTAATTCAGTTCCCTACCAGCTCCTTGGCCCTTCACTGCGAATAGCCTTGGCTTAGCAAGTAACTATAAGCATCCGTGTGTTGCCAACATTGTTTTTGTCCTCAAACCAAAACACAGCATTGTACCAGACGCTCGGAAGAATTCTGTCCCAGCTGAAACCAAGACATCTAGTTAAGTGGTAGTTACTAGACTGAGTCCTTTGATACATGTTTGGCTGTTCTTTGGATCTTGACTCTTCTAAAGACTCATTGTTTCCCGTTTTTGATAATGGATTCAGCATGATGCTTATGCCTAGAGTGTGGATATACTTTGCTGAATGCAGACCAGTGGTGCTGGACTTCTATTGCTCTGTGTGGAAAGAGGAGACATAGCACATATTCTCTTGTGCATATGAATAATGTGATAAGGATTGGGAATATCCATCCTCTCTCTTGTCCCCTAACTTCCCCCTGTCCATAAGTGATGTTGCAACTCTGGGACACTGTGGGTATCCGTCCACTGGTTTTAAATGCTCAGGAGTCTCCAGAAAAATGGCTACTCTTGTGGCCAGTTGGATGGCATATAAATGGTGTGAGAGCATGGATGGCCCATGCTGGAAAATAAATGATAATAGGGAACAATTCAGTTACTCTCATTTAGTCTCCATTTAGTTCTTGTCTGCAGATCTCTTCTCTGCCTAGAATTAGACTGACATCTGGTGGTCTTTTGTCTTCGCAGATTATCTTTAATCTGTCTTTCGTAAACATAAAATAATTAGTCTCATAGTACTTTCTAGATTTTTTACCACAATATGATGTATTTAGACAGATGTATTTAAAATGTGCTGGAAGATTCTGGAAGCAGTGAGTCTGTGATCCAGAACTGGCCTACTTTTCATCATATTAAAGAAAATAACGTATTCTGTGCAATTGTGGAGGTGATGTTGAAAATTTACAGCACGTTTAAATGGATGTATTAATGCTGCAGTGAGCCTGCAGGTCTCCCCAAACGAAAATTGGAAGGGTGAGCTCCCTTTACTGTGGAATGCAACAGCAGAAGTGCCATCTGCTGCCCGGCTTTGGATACCTGCCTGTAGAGAACAGGAAGATGACGTCTTTGAGAACTGTTTTATTTTCGGTGCCTACTGCCTGAAGGGAAAGATAGTTCTGAAGTTTTTCATATCAGGCTTGGGTCATCAGTGCTTGCATTGGTGATGCCCAGACCACGAAAGGAAAAAACTGCTTGGGGGAATCCAACTTCTGGAGATGATAGTGAAAAGGCACATTGGTTTCTGAAGTAATCTTGGGGAGCAGGAGGGGGTAGACTGCTAAATATGTTGATTGAGGTACCTCATGAAGCAATAAAAGTTGTGAGTTTTGCTCAGAACTGTTCCCCTTCCACACCTGCTGTGTTGCTTTCAATACAGAAATTCAGCATCAGCAACTTTTGACACTGCACTTTGTTGTCATTTGCTTAGTAAATACACAAATCATTTGCAGTCAAGCAGGGATTTTTTATTTATTTTTTTATTTTATTTTGCCTGCGTGTGACTCAGCCCTTGCTCTGTGACTCACTGAGCATTTCTGGCAGCATACAATATTGCCCTGCTCTTTTTATTGTAGTAATTGGGAGGGGGAGTTCCAGCCAGTTGTAAGGTGGGGCCAGAAAGGCTGAAAAGGACTGCTTTAGAGTGCCTGGAAAACAAATTACATCAGTTCTTGTGCAAACTATGAACATGAGCAACTGAAAGGAAAAGACACTTTAGATTAGGCCATTTAAAACCAGGCTATTAGGTAGCAGCAGTTGAACATTAGTAGCTAATTAGTAGCTGTCTAATATCTCACTCCTCTGTTCTTTAGTTAATGGGTGGAAGAGCCAACTTCATAAATCCACTGACACTCAGTGAGTCCCCAGTATAGTGCTTCTTACCCTTTTTTTAGTCCATGCCTCATGTCGGTAAATACACCTCATCATAATAAGTGGCTCCCAGAGAGCAAAGGTGCTTCTTGCCTCATTAACTGCGCTTAACACTTCAGGCATAAGCAAGCTGTGTCCAGAGGGACCTGTCCTGCCTTTCCCTGTGTTCCCCAGTGGGCTTTCCCATTTCCTTCTGTCAGCATTGATGCTTCAACCATCCATGTCCTGAATGTGCTACTTTTGCAAAATAGCAGCTTTTATCACAGGGAAAATGCTGTCTGAAAGCTAATCATCTTCTGAAGGGTTCTGCTTCCACTCACAGAGCCAGCTCACTGTGTGCTGCATCACAGTCAGTGCTGTTGCAACAGACCTGGTGAGGATACAAAGGCAGAGAAAGGGAAGCGCAGGGGATGAGATGCCTCACCTTTTGGTGGCACTGCAGTCTTAGATCGTCTTAAGCTATCCATGGGCAGTTTTAAGTGGTGTTGCTAAGTTCATTCTACCTTTCTGTGTTTAATTCTATGTTTCTTAACCAGGCTTCCATGTCCCAAACTCTTTACTTTTGCAAATTTACCTGCTTTAGGGAAAACTCTGTCTGAAAATCTGTGTCTGGTTTCAATACTGACTTCTCTTTCTCTCTCTCACTTTCTGTATGTTCACTTTCCCTACCCCTGTCTTCCTTTTCTCCCTTGTTTTCTTTTTCCTCCTCCTTTTGGCTTGCTGGTTTGTCAGCCCCTCCTTCCTTGCTCTCTTCCCTCCTTGCAGAACAAGATGGTGAAAGGCAGCCTCAGCACAGAGCAGTCGGAGCGGGGGTGAGGGGGGAAGTGTACTCCTGGGAATGGAAATAAAAGCAAGCACAGGTGAGTTGGGGAGAGCTTCCAGTTTCCACCTGCTTTCTCCTGTGGCTCCTTTACCTGCAGTGCTCTTCCCCACTTCTGAGAGATAACATGGTGATCTCATGTACGTGCCGCAAACCTGTAATTACTAACTTTGGTTTTCCTTTTTTCCTTCTACAATCTGTTCAGGCTAGTCACTTCAGGGTTTTTGTACACAGCAGTTCCTTCTGTGTAGTGATGAGAGACAAAGCTTGTTGCAGCTGCCCTATTGCTCTCCCAGCTAAGCCAGTGGCAAAAATCTCCTTTAATATCATGCTCTTAACAATCTTTTTTCTTAAGTGACTGGTAGTTAATAAGTTTCTGGTTTTGTTTTGTTTTTGCTTTTTTCCAAGTTCATCGGTGTCTTTGTGAGAAAGGATTAATGATACCAGTGAGTTCAAGATTACTACAATCTTGGTTTACCTGTTTTCCAGAAACGTAAATATAGGGATAAGTGTATTGATCTTATCAGGAGTGCATTCTATTTTCAGGGTAGCATTTTTCTTTATTTTGCAAATAGTTGTGGGTGAGAGAAGGCCGAGCTGTATCCCCACGTGACCACAAATTCAACTTCCTAATGTTTCTTCCAGTTCCTTACAGCTCTGCCCTCTGTATCCAAGGTAGCTGTAGAAGTGTTTGGTCAGCATAAGCCAAAAGGGCTATGGGAGGCAGCAGCTCTGCTCTTGTGCCCCAACTGCCCAGCTGCTCTTCCCTTCAGCCTCCCTCTTTATCTAGCCCATGGGTGTCCAACGTTTTGGCTTGCCTGGACAGCACTGAGTGAATAGGAATTGTCTTGGGCCACATATATGTAAATTGCTCTGAAAGTAATATTTTCTGTTTATTTACATGGAAAATACAAGAGATACAAAGAGCACAGCAGCTGTTTGGTAGAGCAAATTCTCAGCTACAAAACACTATTTTTCAACATAGTCATCACCATTAGCTCTGCATTTTTGCCAGTGATGAACAAGAGCCTACATGCCATGCTCATCAAAACCTGCTCCAGCAGAGGAGCAACACCCACTGCCCCATAAACATTCAGTAAACATTAGTGAATGTCATTGTAACTTTTTCCTCATGGAGGAATTCAGTGATTCACCTTTCCTCCATACACACTTCCATGTCAGATACCAATTTGTCAGACTGCCCCTCTGCTGCCCTCTGTCACACAGCAACAAAACCTAAGGGAGTATTGGTGGGAAGGTTCACCTTCTACTGCCATACCATTAACATCCACCTCTGACATTGTGGGCCAATATAATAAAACAGGAGGCATTACTTTCAGAGCAGCCCTCATAAAACATAAGTAACAAAACAATTTTTAATATTTTTCTTAAAGCAATTTCAAAAAGAGAGGAACAAAAACATAAAACTAATGGGATATGTGACTTTGTGAAATGAATGCATCGCCCTGCTTCGATGGCAGTGGTTGCAATTCATAGTGAGGTCTCAAGGTACTCATCAGAGATTTTTTGAAGAAATTTTACACTTCCTCTAGTTCATCCTTGACAGTAGTTGTTCAGAATGTGTGTACTGCCAACAAGTGATGACATGAATACGGTGTGATTGTGAAGCGAAGGATATTTCTCTCTGGTAAGAGAGGGATTATGAAGGTCTGGTGAAAAGACACAATCAGATTCTGGAGTTGAATATCTGATTGCAACTGTATACATTCTGTTTGAAAATTTGCAGGTAATGTATTTAGATCAACTCAAAATAATGTTGCAAACTTCTTTTTTTTTGCAATCTTGAAACCTGTTTTCAAATTCCTGTATCAAAATGAAAAGCTCAGCCGTGTATTCTTCACTGTTTGGAGCCCTGTGTTTAGCCAGTATATCCAAATGCATACTGGTATTTGCTGTTGAGCCAACACTGCACAGCACTGCCCTTCCTGTGCCCTGCTTTTGGTTGACACAGCCTTAATAACGTTCTGACAGTTTGGTTGCTGCAGAGCAATGGGGGATGTGCCTGGGGCAGGGAAGAGCTGCCACCTTTATAGTGCGGGGCAGGAGGTGGCCACGTGCAGCCCATTGGCCGTGAGTTGGTTGGATGTGCTTGCTCTCACCCAAGTCTTCAGGAGGCCACGTGTGAACTTGGTCAGATATTTGACGTCTGAAAATTGTGTTTTGCCATATTAGTGTATCAGTTTGAATCCTTTTCTTAATCTGATTTGCTGTATGTCTGGAGTGAGAAGGGAGTAGCACAGAGGTGGGAATTAGAGCGGGTATGATGAGGATGGGATTTCTTATTTCCATCAAGTACGTTGCCGTGTGGTGGCAACAGGGAGGTCTAGATGAAATAATGATTTCAAATTAGTTCCTCTTGGCATATTTTCCCATAAACTCTAGTTCCAAAAAATCTTCTGACTTCATTTCAGTGCTCCAGGTGCATTTCTTGCTTAGCTGGCCATGTCTGTCTTTTTGTTGCAGCACTACAGGTGTAGTTGCTGTTTCATGTCTGCCGTCTAGCCTGATTTTAACAATCCCTTTCCCTCACCACCATTTTACTGCTTCCAAATCACCTTTGTCACTTCATAATCTTGTTTCTCCAATTAAATAACTGGAAAGAGCTTTTAGTGTTGTTTTCTGTGAAGGATGAGGGATTAACTAGAGAATTCTGGTTCTTCTGTGTAGTAGCAGAAGACAGAAATTGCCTTCTCCGTGATGATTTTTGAAGGTAGGTTTTTAAGGAGCTAATGAATATTAATGTGTTGCAGAGACCTTTGTGCAGCTTTGTCTTCCACATCATTTTCCTTCATTTTTTTTTTGTAGATCATAGGAATTATTGGCTTAAGACCTTGCAAGCTGTGGAATCTCAGCACTATGTTCACTGCGTGGTTTAGACATCTCTCTAAGGCATCATTTCTTCCTGATTCTACTTTGGCCTCAAGTAGTTCTTACCTAAAGGTCCTGTTTAACCTCCTCCCTGGGGGGCTGAGAATGTCTTAGAGGTTCGTTTATGCAGCCTGACCTTGTATCCCAAAGCAAAAACCATGCAAATCCAAGAGATACAGTTCTTAAAAAAAGATTTGCTGTTATTACGACGGCAATTAACAAAGTTTAGAGGAGCACTCCTGGTAGAAGAGCAGCTGCCATTCCACTGACCTTGCTGTAGAGATAAAAGGGGCAGTCAGCTGTTAGATTATTGGGCTACTTTGTCTTGGTTCACTCCTAGGCCCAGCAAGTTAGGAAAAATCATGCGTATTGGATAACATCCAGGCAAGTCAGTGTATTCTGTCTCTGATTGTTGCTTCTTTCTCCCTGAGCCAGTTGCCTCTAGAACATTTGGATCACATCCAGATCTGGAGAGTGACTGTTGGAGAGGGTCTGGTGCTCTGGAACCTGTCCAGGAACGGGGAGGGGCTCTGTGTGGTGAGCCTGATTTCTCCCTGAGCCGGTGCCTAATGCTCTGGATTGATTCCAGGCATGGGCAAGCAGCCCTTGTATGGCAGCCAGAGACAGCACTGCGGCCTTGACACTCCTTCAGTGCAGACTTACAGTTGCACAGTAATGAACTCCACAAAGGTCAGCTGCCTGAACCTCCCTCCTTTCCTCCTGAGTTCCAACTCCATGGCTTGCCTGTCTGGTTTTCACATGCAATTGCTTGACCTTCTCCACTGTATGAGGGAGTGTTATCAGCCAAGAGGTAGGCTTGCTGGGTTGTAATCTAATTGGTATACTGATAATCAGAAGGGCATTGATTTCTGCATCACATTTGAGCTCGTGGGTAATTGCCAGCTATACATAAACATGGATGTTACTTTACTCACAAGCACACCTCTAATGCTATTAGCTGCTTTTTGTATGTGTCACTTACATTGTCAGCTTTTTTTTTTTTCATCCAAAGCTCACTGACTGGTAAGGAGGGTTTTATACAAGCTGCATCAAAGTGTTAACCTTTCTAAATAAATCAGCTGCCGCTGGGCCTCACTTGTGCTATGGGAGAAGGGAAGAAAGGAATTCATTATTTCAAGCTTTGCTTTTTCGACAGTGCACATTAAGAATGAGAACTGTGGCTCAGTGAAATTAAATTTTAATTTTATCTGAAGTTCCTCTTTTGAACTACATCTCTACCACCTTCCTGAACTCCTGGAGTTCATTCTCTCAGCTCAGAATTTCATGACAGGGAGAGTGAGTACGCCAAGTGCTTGGACATTCCCATGCATGTCTTGAAAGACGACATAAGCATCATTTGTCCATGAACTTTTGCCTCCACAACTTTGCCATTAGAACAACTACTAACTAACTAAATGAATAAATATCACTTCACCCGCAGTTAGCTTAACTGTAGCTCTGCCTTTTGCTGATGAAATCCAGCTGTGTCAAGACCTAGATTCGTGTGGCTGATCATGTAGTATCAGTACCAATTTCATTATCTGAGTCATTTTCACTGAATACTGTCTGGGTGGCAGTGTGGTGACCTGTATGAAAATATTTGGGTCCAAATCCTAAGGGATGGTGTGGTGTCCCAGAGCTGTCATTGTATTTGATCATGCTTGGCCACCTTGCAGTTTTCAGAGTCAGGAAGAGGACTGAACATGAGGTGAGCAAGCTCCTTTCCCACTGCTGGAAGTTTGAAAGAGCTGAATTGGGTGTGGGTAGCTCTGCCCTTGTGGACTCCTCTCTAGCTGGGCTCTGTCATGTTGTGCTGGTTGTTGTTACTTGGATTTGCTTTCATGAACTACTTACCATTGTACTTGTGTCCGATTTTAGTCCACAAACCCAGAGCTCTGGGTGCTGCTGCTGTGGTAGGCTGCTGAATATGTTCCCCAGAATGTGAGGAGAGCGTTGGCAGACCAAGGCAATGGAACCTTCCTGCATATTACTGGTTTCACTTTGTTTTTCAGGTTAGGCTGTTGAGATAAAAAGCGGTGGACATTCATGACTGAATGGAATCTCTCCCACTGTGCAGCCATGCCCCCTCTCGACGTGCCTGCCAATGCCAGCACTTCCTTCATCAATTCTTACATCACACTCAAGACCGATGACATCACAGAATTTGACCAAGGAGTCTGAACCAGCTGTTTCCATGGACACAATCTCCATAGTGACAGTGGGAAGGGGAGGGGGAAAAAGGAAACAGGTGGGGGGAACTAAAGAGGGAGGGATAAATATATATATATATAAAGATCTATTTTTTAGTCTTGAAAGACTTTGTTTTAAATGAAAGGTGCGCTATCCCTTTTGATGCTTTTGATTAAAATTAACGAAAACCCAGATAAATTTAAAAAGAACAAATTTGTAGCTGAAGTAAATACTAGATCCAAAATCAGGCAAGGCTTATGGAGCCTAACATTTGGCAGGAAAGAACAGTGGTACTGGGAGCAGTCTGGACTGGATTTGTCTCCCTTCCTCTTGCCTTCTTTCTTTCTCACAACATCCAAGGAAGTCCAATTTTAAAAGGAAAACAAAATCACAGGATAACTTGTTTGTAGGGCATGGGAGGAAGGTTTGAATGGATGCAGGTGGTGGGGCGTCTTTCCTTTCTGTGTATGGGACAGGGAGGTCATAGTTTTAAGAAACACTGTGTCGATACTAGGAGCTTGATAAACATCTGAAGGCCCTTAGGTCACCTGGCTCACAAAGTAAGAGGAAACTGCCGTTTGCTTGGCTCATGCACACAAGTGTACACTTCCTACATGTGCTAACTACCTGTTGGAGAAAGGAGCAGCTGCCCTCTGCAGCACGCAACCCAGGCCGTAGCCAGGAGCTGCCTTTGGCACTGGGGGCAGCGGGGAGGTGTGCTTTACCTGCCAGACTGGGGAGCTGGGAAGGAAGTCTGAATGCTGGTGGAACCAATGTGTTTTCAGAGTGGTCGGAAAATCCACTTAGCCTTTTTTTTGTTTTATGTTTTGCTTTTCCAGAAGGAGGAAGAAGGAATGTCAGTGCAACAGGCTACACTATGTGGTTATTTGTTGTGGGTTTCTCTGTAAATTATGTAACTGTAAACATTTGGGTTTAAGAAACATAAAACAAAAAAAAAAACCACAAAAAAAACAACAACAAAAAAAAAAACCCACAGTTTTTTTCTTATTAAGGCCTTAAGAAAGGGGTTAGTGCATCTTTCAGGGGTCACTCTGCCATGGGAATAAAATAGCTGTTTCACAAACAGTTTTATATAAAAAAAGCTTAAAAAAACACACAAAAAAACCTAATAAACTTCATTTTAACCTTATCTCCTTTTGTTTTGTGCGAACTTGATTTGTTTAAAAGGACAGAGACACTACTATCTGCTGCTTTTTGGTTTCTTTGCCTTCATCAGTTCTGCCTTCAGCGATGACCTTCTGAACTGGCCCAGCAAGAGGAAGACCGCAAAAGCTTTTTAAAATAAAAACTTAGAGTTTGTTTGATGCTCCAAGATAACAAGCCAATGACTGGATAAACTTTGTGTTTGCGTGAGATGGTATTTCACCGATTCACTGACTTCTTTCACTCATAGGATGGTGGCATATCCTAGTGATAACAGCGTGGTGTTTACTGGGAAGTCACTATAGATAGGGATCTAACCAGCATGATTTGGATAAAAAAAAAGTGGGGTTGATATTGTGGGGAGGGAAGAATTATTTTAAAAAGCTGTGTACTGGATGCTTGCTCAGCTACTCGCATTTTGGAGTATTCAGCACATAAAAAATAGTATCTATGATAGCTCATATTAAGATATCTATTTTAACTCTATTTTTAAAAGATCGATTTAAAGATTTGGGAGATCATTTGGCAGTTATTTATTTCTAGAAGTTGCTACTTCCGCTGATAAGAATTTGGAAAGCAAGGGCAGTCTTCTGCTCACTCCTTTCCCAGTAGCAGCTACTGACGTTAGTATGTCCTTCTACATTAAGAAATAGACCTGTTGTGATAAATGTCACTAATGTGTCCTGAACTGGTGCTGAAAATATTTAACTGCTGGTGTAGTCAGAAAAATCATTTTTAGCATAGTTAATGTGGTTGAGTAAATGACTTCTTTTCAACTGAATAAAAAAAATTTTTTTTCCTAGTGTCTGTTCTATTCTACCTGTTTTGAAAAACAAAACACAATACATAAATGGAGTTATTTCATAGAGGAATCAGCTTTGTGGTACTACACCAGCAGCAGGAGACTGGTAAAACTGGTGGAATTTATGTTTTTGGCTCTTCGGGGTGGTGTTACAGCCGAGGAAGGTTTGGGGTCGGTGGGAGCCGGGAGTCTCGGAGGGTTTTCCTATTGCTCCTCTTGGCAGTAGCTCCTTGTGCACCACGGATGAAGAGCAGCAGAAGTCATATACATCCAAAGAACAAACGGTACCACACTGGACTCCAATTGGGAAGTATTTTGAACCCATCTCATTAGCTTCCACGTGGCCCTTTGTCAGTACTGCTGTCACAAGTAAAGGGCCGTGTTCCCCCCAACAGAGGCCCTACAAGTCGACCATCTGCACGGCAGTTGGAGCCTTTACAGGAAACAGAGCTGCAACGATTCTCTAAAACCAAGCTGGAAGGAATCTTAAAATAATGTTTAATGCCTTCTTGGGAGGACTTGGATACGATCCAGAGCAGTCATAAAATCCACTTGGAAATAAAAATCTCTTGGACCAGAAGCTATAAAGTGCCTAAGTGGATTCTGAAAGCCATGAACAAAATGTTTACGAGCTCTATTCTGCAAAAGCGATGAGAGCCTGATGCCATGGATATGTTGGAGTTGAAAGAAAGGGAGAAAGATTGGGAAATGTTGGCTAATTTAGAATTTGTGAAGCAGGAATGACCTGCAGCAGAACTGTAAAATGTGGAGATTGTATCAAGAAGAAAATCAGCAACCTGCAAGCAGCTTGGGAATTACCTGCTTGGATGAGGAAATGAACTAGTGGGAGTTTGGTGGGAGTTTGGATAAAGCAGCTCGTTTTCCAAATGTTTCTCCAAATGATCTCTACAATGAGAGAAACTAGCACCAGCTTACTGGGAAATGTAGGTGATGGTTCGACAGCATTTCCAAAGTGAGTAGTTGTTTAAAAATGAACATTTTGACAGCTAACTGGAGTAAACCAACACTGCTGAACATGGTCAAAGGAAAGGATGTGGGATTTTCTGTCTTGTTTTTTTCCCCCCCCCCCCCCCCAAAAGGATGTGCAACAGATGAAGTATGCAAAGGATGTCTATAAATATGAGCTGATGAGGGTTCAGCTGGAGGCCAGGAGGATAAAATTCCTGCAGGGATTGATGGTCGATGTAGGATACATACAACATGCATATTGTGAAACCAGGAGCTGCTGATTTATTCATCGTGGACTTTCATAGCAAATGACATCTACACTTGGAAATCCAAGGCACAGTCTAACGTGGAGTTTATAATGAGATTGTGCACCACAGAAGGAAGGCTGCAGAAGGTGACGGTCATCTCTGCTCAGCAGAGTAGACGACATAGTGCAATGACTGGGGATTTTATCTGGGTTTGTGATGCTCTTGAACCTTTGGAATTGGAACACACTAGCTAACACCAAGCTCAAGAACAGCACTTTGAGTGGGACATGAGAGGGTGGGGAAGAGAGCTGTGAAGATAATGGGCAACTAAATGACAGCTCTGGTGTTATGACTGTTTAATACACTGTACAGTCTGTAATCATTGAATCATTAAGTCGGGAAAAGACCACAAAGACCATTTAGTCCAACCATCAATCCACTGCTACCATGCCCCACTAGATGTACATAATAAAATGTACATACCTAATGTGCATAACTGTAGAGACAGCAGGGGGAAAGCATTCTGGGACAGTCTGGTTAATAACTCACCAGTAATTGCATATGGTATCCTGAGTGCAGTGGTTGTCTTGGGCACAGCGAAGTACCTGCTTAGCGGGGCACAGGGGCGGTTTGTCTGATCTTCGTGCCAGCTTACCAGACTGGACAGAAAAGCAAGCCTCCATCTAAAAGTATAGAAAGCTGAATGCAGATACCAGATCTTCAGATCTACAGGCTGGCTGCGTGGTTGAGGATAAATGGATCAATTATAATTGGTCTGAATTTTACTATTATTAACAATTAAAAGTTTTGTGAAAAAAGCAGGTGTACGGGTAATCCAGGTTTAGTTATAGGTCTAGTAAATACCAGGGTGTGGTTAATTCTTTGAGGTTCTGCTGACCTTCCTGTGAGAAGCTGAAAGTGTTGCAACCTGAGGGTTGGGTTAGAATTCTCTATATTGTGGAACAAGGTGAAATTCTTATTGGTCTGCGGTAGTGAACTTGTAACAAACATCTTGGGTTTGGTTTTGTTTGAGAGCTACTACAGCGTGCTGCAAACAAGGTAATTCAGCCAGCTAAGCAGAAGACAGAAGTAACTCCTGGAATGTTGCAGGAGACCAGCAGCTCATAAGCACTTTCTGTGCCAGTTTGACTGATACGCATCACTGAAGAATCGTTTCCATAGTGATGAGATTCTGCTTACAGTCTAAAGATCAGTGGAACAGTTGTAGACAGTGCAGTTGTACACAGATGTTTATTTATTTCTCTGCCTGTAGATTTGGTCAGATGCAAAAGTTACACTTTGCTGTCCTACTGAAAATGTACCAGGTGGCTACTTGGTCTTTTTGTGGGATTTCATTTCTTAAGTGGAACCAATATGCCAGTTTGCACTTCCACCGAAAGGGGCCTGAACTGAAGGGAAGCACTGCTTGTCTGCTCACTTCTTTCATGAGGCCATGTTCAGAGCTGAGATTGCTTCCCTTTCTTCTTTCATCTGGAGAGGTTTCTTGTAGTTCATTGCTTAACTCAGTTTCACTGCTGTGGTTTCAAGATTTTGGCCTTCAGAAATGCTAATGCTGCTCCACAGCCATAGAGAAAATTATTAAGAAGAAAGAAGTACTCTTCAGCCCATAGCAAACCTCCTGTGATGGAAATCTTCCACTTTAGCTGGGGGATCAGGACTCAAACTGGTGACATACTCATCTGCTTGACAAAACCCATACGCACTTACTCCTGTACTGTACATGAATATATGCAGTTTATCTGCCAGTGCTGCATGCAGTCCATCACTGGCTTTTGGCTTGTAACTATACCTGCTAATAACCAAACCTCGAGATCACAGGGCGTGAGGATCTGTGCTCCTGGCTGTGAGACATACCATGACAGTGGTTCTGTCTGTATTGAACTGAACTGTATTGAAATGACTTCAGTCTCACATCTTTCAGGGGGGAGCAGCAAAAATGTCCAAGATATCTGAGAGGGAGCTGGGAGTCATTATGCTAGAGAGAAGTACAGCGTTATATGTGTGCACTACATAGCAAATCGATTCCCCTGGGCTGACACTAATTGATCAAAGAAGTGTCACCACACTGAGTGGTTTTATTAAAAAATGGATAAGCCCTTATGTACACTTTATAGCATTCATAGTAGGGAAACAGAATTGGACTTCCATCACCAGGAATATATTTCTGTCTCTAGAGTGGTGCCATCACTTGATTCTTACACAAAAGAGGTTATTTTGAGGATGTTTTGGTGCATCCATTGGCATTACCATGAAAGTTATTATATTAAGCTGACTCTGGTCATGTGACTGTCCTTCCATTCGTAGTCAGCAAGAAGAAATATGGGAAAGCAGACTAAATCTGTTTTTCAAGTGTTCTATGAGGAAACTAGGAACTGCAAGTGGAAACGGGTCTAAAAATGAGTCAAGACTGTGTACAAGGAGAAAGAAACTACAGTTTAACATAATCCATCTTTGTGTAATGTCTTGGCTGCATGGAGCTGAGGTAAGGACGTGGCTGTATGAAAAGGGTGTTAGAGTCTGGCTGCTCAGCGGGTGCCTTGTTTTGCTAAAACTTCTGAGGAGAAACTGCCAAGTGTCCAGGTGATGAATGGCAAAACCATAACCAACCATTTGGAAAAGAATCCGGAGAGCTGCACTCAGCAGGAAAATAAGTACGGCTGATGGAGGCATGTCCAGTAAGCAGGAGCAGAGGGCAAACGGAATGAACCCATTTTGCATACTCTAACCTGTTTGCCAGGGCTGTATATGGTTCTCCTCCAACTGTGCAACGTTCCTGGCTTCATTGGATAAGAAGACACACTGGGAGAGGAACCAGCTCCCGCAGTTGTGAGACTGCAGCTGCAGTCTTGAAAAGGGCACTGATGGCTGCTGTCACCACGGCCTACTGTTGCTGCTACAGAACTCACTTTACTGAAAGCAAGAGCAGCGTGTTGTCACAAGATCCAAAAAGACTTGAAAAAGGTGCCGCTACAGTAGATAAATAAGCATTCCTTATTACAAGTACGAAAGACCGGGTTAGAAACATCAAGTTTCTAAGCACTGGAGGGGCACGTGGAGGCCTGGGTTCCTGCAGGCTGCCTCTGGGGTTTGAAGGTCCATCTGTTAACTTTGAGAGAAGTGCTCACGTAGGCTCTGTGCCAACTTCATTCTGCGCTGTTTGCTTTATTACACAACAGGCCCCAATAAACTCTTCAATGCGAGTCAGTCATTTCCCATCCAAACGGTAATTCCAAACAGAGGATGGATTTTGCTTTTCTTAAAAAGGCTCTGCTGTCTGGATTATCCAAGTTTGTTTGTTCTTCTCAGAGCACAGATACGTTATCTTGCTCTTACGAAACAAGTTTATAGCAGCCCACAATCAGTGCAGAAAAGGAAGGCTGCTTCCACATCTGCTGAGGTCAAGGTCTGTGCTGAGCTGTGCAATGGGGCACTGAGGTAGGCACAGGAAAACCAAAAGAATGTGTGCCTCTGTGGAGCCACGGAATCCATGTGCTGTTCCGGTGAAAAGTGTTGGGTTTCTCGAGCTTCATATAAGCTTATTAAAAGGGCTGATTGTGCTGGAGAGAGAGACTCTAAATACCAATTCTGGAGAAAGAGAGATTTGCCCCTTAATTCTTTTCAGCATTTGTTGGAGTTGCTTGGGATCTGAGAGTAGCTGATCAAAACCAAGAGCAAACAAAAACTATTCCTAAGCTGTAGTCAAGTGCTTAATGAAATACCTGGGAGAGCTTTCTTTTATAGTCCTTCAGATGCAAAGCAAAGGAACAGCTGGGCTGTTCTGAGCAGCGTCTTCATCTAGCAATTTGCAACAGCCCTCTGACCTTCCTCTTTCTTCACTAAGTGCGTCAAGGAAATACAGCTTCACTCTTTAAGAATACATGAACTCCTGATGTGTAAGCTTATACCTCCATCTGTAAATGTATCAGCTTAGGTGTTCAACAGCTGGGGAAAATTGAGTAATGTTTTTGCTCACTGACCAGCCTGTGTGGATGCTAAGTGTCTATTTATATGGGTTAAAATGTAACTCAGAACGCACAGGAGACACGTGGACAACTTGAATGCTACCATTCCAGGTTTCCCACAAGGCACTGTGCCTCCACACGAGGAAACAGCCTGCGACCGTGCAAGAAAAAACTCTTCCTTGCAGTCAGAAGTCTCTACCTACAACTCACTCCATCCTGAGCACCAGGCCTTGAAATAAGCTTCGAGTAGCTGTACAGCACAGGGCGCCTTAAGGAGGAGAGAAGCAATCAGCTCTCATATTTCCCTTTGTTCTCCTTGGTGCACTGACTGTTGGGATTTGAGTTGCACCTCCGCTTTCATGGCTCATACTGCTTCATTTGTCAGAGAACACAGGTATTCCTGGGAATTTGGAAAATCCCAGGAGACTGTGACTCAAAAAGCTTTGAAGAGTTCCCAAAAGGTGTAAGCAGACTGAGTCATTATTATCCTTTCCACTGACAGTGGAGTCCTCCAGGGGCTCCATTGCTGCATTTCCCAATCTTCCATTACTTCCAGGTAATCTGTTCACTGCACACCTGTGTTGCTTGCAGCCGTCTTATCCTATTGTTCAGAATTCACTTCTGAGGTACTCAGATGATGTATTCTGGAGCTGTAGCCCAAAGGGTTTGAGACACAGGAGCTCACGTTTCCCAGCTCTCCCTCCCACCCTTAAATTCCCTGCACCTCCAAGCTCACCAGCACTCACCATCCCTGGTGACTGCTGGCTACACAAATGTGGTAATGCTTCAGCAACTTCAGTCATTGGGTTTTTGGCCTATCAGCTGTTCAGCTATTCTCAGTACTCAGTAGTATTCAGTCTGGAGTTCTGGAATTGTTCTGGAATTGTTCTTTCCCTTCCTCCTCCCCACCTCCCCCCCCACACTGAGGAAAATCTCCATTATCTCCTTTGCTTCACAAGACCTAGAGGTCCACGCAGCTTGTGACTGTTCTCTCATCCTGTTGCCATTTGACTTGGAGAGACCCCTTCTCCCCCCACCCTTCTGTGTTGCAGTGCAGTGGTACAAATGGGGGAGGGTCACATCCCTCAGCTCCTCCTTTTGTACAAACTGTTACCGGGAGGGGTGAGTTAATTCCTCTCGGATAGCTTTACCTATAGCACCTATTTCTCAAATAAAAGCTCTGTCATTGCCTTCGTTTGCTCTACACGTGGCACATCAGGGCAGCCAGACGGCACAGATTCTTGAAAATATTCAGCACGGTTTTAATCCTGAACTGCGACACATCTTCACAGCCTGAGTGCCACCATCCAGTGCAGGCAGAGCTGTTCAAGCAGCAGTGGGAGGTTACTCTGAACCCCAAACTGCACCTTATTCCCTCCTGCAGACAGGAGTCAGCACAGACCATGGCCTGCATAAAGCCTTCAGTGGAAAGTTATCAAAGTGGACTGCACAGAACCACAGGATGTCTGAGGTGGGCTGGGACCTCTGGGTCCATCTGCTCCAACCCCTGCCCCCACAGGGCCACCAAGAGCAGGGTGCCCACTGCCATGTCCAGTTTCTGAGCAACCCCCACTTTTTCCTGCTTTCCAGCAAACCCGATATTTGGTACTTTGGACTTTGGTATAAGCAATAACAAGTACAAAGCAATTAAGGACGTGCCTGAGGATATCCATTTTCCTGGATATGACCCAGTGTGCCTTATCTCTAAGCAATGCAGTGGAAAGCTCCTGGAAGGAGTTAGCAAACACACAGCTGCGCTGGTACTTAATAGGTGCAAGGACTAATATTTGTCATCTCTGGATGGAGCATGGTTTTCAAAATCTCCAAATTCTAGTGTTTCAAGTAAGCCAGCATCTCCTACAGTGCTATTAATGCCCAAACATTTGTTTTACCTGCCCAAGTGCTCTGACCTGAGGCTGGAGATGCACAGATGCTGCTGCCAGAGCTGCTGAGGTGTAAGTAACCAGCTCATCCGGAATGGAATTCCAACATGCAATTTGCTGAACAATTCCTGTTAAGAAATTCCATGCATTTTCATCATTTCTAATTCCCCTTTCACTCCACATGCTCCCACAGGTATTAATCCAACTGTGAGCATTGCTGAGCCAATGTTTCACACCCAAACAGTTATTCATGGTTTTCCTGTTGATAAATAAATATACATTCTGATTTCCAGTGCGTATTTGGATCTGTGAAGCATAAACATCATCACTGGAGGCATCAAACACAAACAACCTGTTTTTGCTGTGGTCGTAAAGCACAATAATCTTCTGTGTTTCCAATGCACTGATAAATACTCCTAAATGTTTGCCATTATTTTGCTGACATAAAAAACACAGATAAAAACATGAAAAAATCACTAATGAGCTTGACACTGTGTTATTCATGAAAAGAACATAACAAATTCTGTTCTCTAATGCTGAGTACTTGGTGCCTTTGGAAATGACTACCATGGGTTATAGACCACCAAAATTACATGCTTGTTTGTTTTAATTTGCAGTGTGTTCATAATCATTTTGGCAAAAAAAAAAAAAAGCAGGGAAAAATGCACGCTTTACATTCTCTGTTGAAGTGCTACGTTATTTGTGGTGTGCTTGCAGAATCAAGATGGTTCTTCAGACCATCTTCTGCTTATTTAATGGGCCACTAGTGAAGGGCAGAGACGAGGAGCTTGTGAACTGATGTCAGAGCAGCCCCTGGTGTGCAGCCTACAAGCACTGGGCACAGCTTCCTTGTCAGCTCAGCCTGCTCTGCAGATACCTGCACCTTTGCAGACAACAGTCTGAGCATGCAGTCTTCTCCTTTACATTCTCCTTGTGTTTCTCCCTCAGTTGCTGTTTTTTTGCATCCAGTTATTCATTCTCACCCATGAATCTAATCAGAGTGACAGAGTAGGCAGTGTGATCTTTCCCAGAACATCTTCAGAGTTGGAGTAATCGCATCCTTGAAGCCCGCAGGAAGGCTACATGAATGGGTCATCAGTTGTACCCTTCCTAAGGCTCAGAGATCTACAGCAATAAGTGGTCAGGAAGTAATGCTTCTGGCAGCTCATCTTTCTGGTGCAGCTCTGAAAGCTTTCCTGGGAACAAAGCACATTCAGAATCTGGATTCATAAACACCCAAACTGGGGGCCTAATACTGAGCAAGCTAGCATTCCCAATACCTGTTTGCCAACCTTCCTCTTTCCTCTGCAATCATGATGGTATCAGTCCTTGTGATTGTACTTTGCACCTAGATTTGCAGGTGCTTTATTACTGCAGGGCCAATGGCCCCATTACATACATTTTACAAGAGCTGTAAGAAACTGACATGCCAGCCTGCTGCTTGCTTGCCTCCAAGTCACAGCTCAAGTCGATGCTGGAAACAAATCACAGTTCTTCCATCTTTTCAACTGCTAAACGCATATTTAATCACCTCATTATTTTCAAAGGTTCCCACTGATCTTATGCTTTAGGAAAGCAGGATGAGTTTTCCCATATGGATATAAATGCTTTGCTTACAAGAAAATTAATAACGGGATTTTAGCCAGTAACTCTGTCCAAAATTCCTGTGGATGCTCCTGCACAGCTGAGAAAAACCACACGGTACAAGCAGTAATCCAAAAATGAAAAGATGTGCAATATATTCACTGCTCTTGGGAATCTTAGAGAAGATACCCAAATCAGCAGCTGGGACAGAACCAGTGAGGCTGCATGGGCTGTCTGATCCCTACTGGGCTCCTCAGCATTCTACAGCAAGAAGCTGCCCTTTGTGGCTGGGAGATGGGACCCAGGACATGCTCCTGCTTTGGTACCAAGCTCAGAGCCGCTGCTCCATGAGAGAAAGGGATGGGATGGGCAGCAGAAGCAGAGCACCACCAGGACTTGCTTTGGTTACAGGTGAGCTGCTGGGATGGGTACAGGGAAAAGGAATTTAAAGAACAGCCTCAAGAACAGATTTTGGTCCAATGTGGGAAGGCTGGCAGTAAGTCACTGTGAAAAACTTGGCTATTTCAGGTTACTGTTCTTGGCTATGTTTCAGGTTATTATTCTTGGATATTAAGCATGTGATTGTGCTGTATAATTGCGCAAGCTGGCGTTTTCATCAGCAGGGCCATCATACCGTGACAAATCTGTGCCAAATCTGTGATCCAGCCAGGAGCTGGGCATGGGGCGTGCGGCTGTTAAGGGCAGAGGGGGCCTCTCACCCTGCTGCTAGGCTTTTCTTGTTAGGTCCCAACACCTAGATGGTCATTTTGAATTACATCCCATTTTGTCCTATGGTTATGTCTCAGGGGGATGCTCTGAGTACTAAAGATTGCTGGCTCCATACAGACACTGCTGACATCTGTGGAAAAGCCCAACAAAAGCAGAGTGTGAGCAGCGGGCAGAAAACTAGGTTTTGAATCTACTGAGTCAAAGCTCTTTCTCCTAAGACCTCGCTGTAGAGCTGTTCAAAATATGGTGGGTACTTAGAAGTCAACAAACGCTCAAACTTCTCTGCAAACAAACCTTTGTCCCATCATCCAGATAATTAATAAATATGTTAAACATGTGTGGATATCTGAGGGACGTCATTAGTGATCAGCCAGCAGCTGAACTCTGTGCTGCTGATTCCAGCTCTTTGAAATCCACAGACTAAATGCTCTTCCACCCACCTTATCATCCACCTTGTCAGTCTTTATCACACTGGTTTAGCTACAAGGGTACTGCAGGAAATGGTATCAAAGGCTTTGCCGAAGTCACACTTGTTCAACCCACAGCCAGTGAGCTACATGCAGCCCAGCATCATCCCAAGTGTAGCCCTCTCCTTCCCTGACACTTAAATGTGGTGGCTCTTCTTTGTACCGTGGCCCTGGGCACACGCCCATAGCTCAGCAACACCAAAACGATCGGTGTGCTACAAATGCTGTGCCAACTGAAAGACACCAAGCTGAGACCGAGCTGAGTGGTACAGCTGACATGATGGAAGGAAGGGATGCCATTCAGAGGGACCTCAACAGACTTGAAAGGTGGACCCGAGTGAACTTAACGAAATTCAACACAACAAAGTGCAACACTTTGCACTTGGGCTGGAGGAATCCCAGGCATTTATACAGACTGGAAGGAGCAGTCCTTGAGAGCAGTCCTGCAGAGAAGGACCTGAGGGTCCTGATGGATGAAAAACTTAACATGAGCCCGTAGTGTGCTCTTGCAGCTCAGAAAGCAAATGGTATCCTGGGCTCCATCTGAAGAGGGGTGGCCAGCAGGGACAGGAAGGTGACTGTGCCTCTCTACTCTGCTCTTGTGAGGCCCCAGCTGGAGTACTGTGTCTAGATCTTACAAAAAGAACACAGAGCTGTTGGAGAGGGTCCAGAGGAGGGCCACAAAGATGATCAAGAAGACAGGCTGAGGGAGCTGGGCTTGTTCAGCCTGTAGAAAAGAAGGCTGTGGGGTGACCTCATTGAAGCCTTCCAGCATATAAAGGGAGCCTACAAACAGAAGGGGAGTAAACTCTTTGAAAGGGTATATAACAGCAGGACAAGGGGAAATGGTCTTAAGTTGAAGGAGGGAAAATTTAGGTTGGGTGTCAGGGAAAGTTCTTTACTATGAGACTTGTGAGGTGCTGGAACAGGCTGCCCAGAGAGGCTGCGGATGCTCCATCCCTGGAGGTGTTCAAGGCCAGGCTGGATGGGGCCCTGGGCAGCCTGGTCTAGTATGAAATGGGGAGGTTGGTGGCCCTGCATGTGGCAGGGGGGTTGGAGATTCAGTATCCTTGAGGTCCCTTCCAATCTGAGCCATTCTGTGATTCTGTGAAAGCAGGGCACAGGGAGGGCTGTGCTGTGCAGTGCTGACTCAAGTGATGCCAAATAATTGCATGCACCTTGACCCAGGTGCAAGATCTTGCACTTAGCTTTGTTGACCCTCACGAGTGTCTCCTGATGCCACTACTCCAGGCTGTCTAGGTCTCTCTGGATGGCATCCTGTTCTTTGGGCATGTCAACCGTAACCCACAGCTTGGAGCTGCAAGATTGGAAAAAAAAAAAAAAAGTCAATTTACACTTGCAAGATCATTTTCAGTTGATATAAATACATTCCAACTCTAAGGATTCTATGACTTTATGACATGCACCCTTTCAAATGTGAGTTGTAATCAGACATTCAACTCTAAATCTGATCATGTCTTCTTACCAGACTTTCATAATCCCTATCTTAGCAGAGAAAATATCCCTCACTTCACAATCACACTGTATTCATGTCATCACTTTTTGACAGTACACACACTTTGAACAATTATTGTTGAGGATAAAGTGAAGGAAGAGCAAAATTACATCAAAAATCTCTGATGAATACACTGAGACCTCACTAAGCGATTGAATAAAGATTGTTATTCCCAGAAATATAAGTGATTTTTGAAGTCTCAGGCCACCGTATTAAGATTACTTCTGTGAAGTAAGCGCTTTCTGTAAGGAAAGGCGTCACCTAACCAAAGCTTTCAAAACTTCCACTGGAATAAATTCTCAGCCCTGCAAGCAGAAATCTGAACAGCCTGTGCTTAGGCTGTGCATCTCCCCTGACTTGTTTGTACGAACAATAAGACAACAGAATTAAACTCTTGCAAAACCCGTGTATGCAGCAGGACAGGATTGCCTCGTGCACTTCAATCCTACCTTGGCTGTGGAACAGGACAGGCAAATACCTGTACATCACCCAGCCTTATCCCATGGCCAGCACAACTGCCTGTGCTCCGTGGTGGCAGGGACAAGGAGGCCTCTGAGCTCCAGATTTGGCAAAGAGTTGGAGGAGGAAAGGAACAGCCCTCGTCGCCACTCCCCCAACACTGAGCTGATCAGAGGAGGAGCTCTGGGTCCAGGCCAAATTCCATGTTTAAAAGTCAGCAACAACAGGGAGAGGGGGGCAGGAGGCAGAAGAGAAGGACAGAAACAGTGCTGGGTCAAAACAGGAAGACTGAGTAGACAGACTACAGAATGACACTGCTCCTGTGGCTGTCATCTTGGAGCAACATCTCTGTACTGGGAGTTTTTCTGACCGTCTTTACTGTGCTCCTTGATTTCATGAAGCGCAGAAAGAAGTGGAGCCGTTACCCCCCAGGCCCAGTGTCGCTGCCGTTTGTTGGGACCATGCCACACGTGAACTACAACAACCCCATTCTCTCCTTCCAGAAGGTGAGTAGCGGACCCAGCAAACACGCACAGCACCCTGCGGGTTGGGGAAGTGTGGCCAAAATCAGTAGCGCCAAAAATGACTGTAGCATTGCTATTCAAAGTCAGGCGTTATCTCTTGTCAAAGGGAAAGCACAGCACGGCTTACAGCAGAAATGCCACGGGCTTTTACTTCAGCGTGCAAAATCTAAAGGCTCCTTCTCTAAGACAAAACTGTTCAGCTGTCTGTCCAAAAGATTACCATTTTCGAATCGTATCAAATCAGGGTCATTCTCACTTCACTGACTACTAGTTACCTGACCACTAATTGCTTTTAATGACATATTTCAAGAGCCATTAAAGTACTAATCCCCTTTCAAATCCCGCTGCAATAATAATTAAAAAAAGAAAAGAAAAAAAAAAAAGAAGAGGGATGAAGAGAAGGGAAAAGGGGCAGGGGGGAAGGGGTAGACATAGGAGGAAGATGGGGGAGAGAGAGGAGGAAACTGGATAATAGGGAGAGGGGGAAAAACAGTAGGGAAGAGGAAAAGGACAAGGGAGGGGAGTGGAGGGTAGCAGAGGGGAGGGGAGAAATTGTAAGGAGAAAAGGAAGACCAGGCAAGACAAGAAAAAGTAAAGACAGTGGAAGAAAAAGACAGAAAGAGAGAGAGAGGGAGGGAGGGAAAGAAGAAAATGGACAAAGGAAGGAAGGAAATTAGAGACAAAACACAACAAAGACAAAGAATACACAGCTGATAAACTCTATCTATGCAATCTCCATTTTGTCAGCAACATGTCCTTTTCAGATCAGCAGAGATGATGGATGTGTGCCAGTTACCTGTGTTTCTAGAAGAGTACATTCCCTCTGGGGAGGAAGCTGACCTGGAACTCCAGTGTGGAGCTACCATTTCCAAACATGCTTCTGGGAATAGGGCTTTGGGTGGAAAAAGGAATTACATTACATATCATCAGTATTTCTGTCTAGCAAAAATTAAAGCTACCTAAAATTGCTTAGGTTTTTAAATGAAATTACAAGTGTCAGGAAATAATGGGTTCTTGAGTGCTCAGTCTTTGAAAATCTCTAAACAGGTTCCTGACCTCGTGATGTCACCAAAATATCCACGCAGTGCTCTGGACAGGTTCCTCCAGAATAGCTGCATCTTGCTAATTGCAGTGCATCGCACCCTGCTGCAGATAGTGGATGACACTGTTCTGAGCTGCTGCACTGCAGAGACAATCAACAGTCAGAGGTCAGCTGGAAGGTCTCCTAATAAAACAGTACAAACCACTGAACGGTCAGGCCTTAAGGAAAGACACAGAGATATGTTTTCACATTACTTTCCCACACTATTGTATGTCTGATCATTTTCAGGGCCATGATTTTTTTATCTTCACAGCTTCACAAGAAGTTTGGGAACATCTTCAGTCTCCAGAACTGCTGGACCAACATAGTAGTGCTGAATGGGTACAAAACTGTGAAGGAAGCCCTGGTCAACAAATCGGAGGACTTTGCTGATCGGCCATACTTCCCAGTATATGAACATCTGGGTTATGGACATAAATCTGAAGGCAAGTCCTTTGCTAACAGATACTTCCTGCAGGCACCAGCACAGGGAGGACTGGCTAGATAATGACAGAATATTTTCCCAGTGTAAAACCACCTTCACATCCTTGTACGTCTGCCACTCTTCTGTGGTCACAGAATCAGGTGATCTACCAGCTCTAGTTAGAGCTGTAGTACAGCTCCAGGCCTCTTCAGCAGTGTGAGAATACGATCAGTGGTACAAGTTGCTTGCCAGGGTGAGAGCGGTCAGTTCCCTCTGCCCAGTGCCCATTGCCACCCTATGAGCATGTGTTCTTGTCATGACAAAAAGATGGCAACTTTCTCCCAAGAGGACAGAAGAAAGCATCCCTCCGCATCAGATCCTCTGCACAAAATGCCACCCAGTTCACGCAAGCTGAGGACACAGTACTGAATAATCTGGAGGAATGTTTCCTTCCGATGCTCTCCTATTGAATTACCCTATTACCACCTTTGCTAGACATGTGTCTGCATTAGAAGGTGCAGTACTAAGTTCTTAGAACTGCTGTATGAACAAACCATACACAGTCTTACCTTTTTTTTTTTCTTCCTCTTTCTTCCCCCGATGTTAACCTCCAAACTCACATTTGTTCATTTCTAGCAAAACCTGCACATTGTACAGCTCAGAGCTCCTGATGTTTCTTGATCATTTTTACTTCCAGGGGTTGTTTTGGCACGGTATGGACATGTCTGGAAGGAGCTAAGGAAATTCACGCTCACTACCCTGAGGAACTTTGGGATGGGAAAGAAGTCCTTGGAGGAGCGAGTGACTGAGGAAGCAGGATTTCTGTGCTCTGCAGTTAATTCTGAAGGAGGTTTGTCACATGCAGCAGGATGGAGAAAATGTTCCGATAAAAATACCCAAACAACCAAACAGAAAAAGGCAATTAGTGATACAGCTTCTCCTGTTTGCATGCCATGTTTCAAGTCCATCAGAATAATGGTTACTGAACCTGCTGTGCTGCAAAGCCACTTCTACCTTATGCATTGGAGCTACTGTAAGGCTAATCAATTTCGAACAGGAAATAAATAAAAATAAGCAGAGGTAAAATACAATAATTTCAGAGTTGGGTAACTATTACCCATGAAAAGTTAGGTGTAACGGGGTGGAACATGGCGGATGCATTGGTGGAGGTGGTTGTCTTCCTGTACTCTGTCCTTGTGTGGCCCCATCTGGAGTACTGCATCCAGGGCTGGGGCACCCAGCACAAGAAAGACATGGAGATGTTGGAGTGGGACCAGAGGAAACCATGGGGACGCTCAGAGGGCTGGAGCTCCTTTCTTACAAAGACAGGCTGAGGGAGCACGGTTTGTTCAGCCCACAGAGGAGAAGGCTGCAGGGAAACCTCAGTGCAGCATTCCAGTATTTGAGGGGAACTTACAATCAGGGAGGAGATTTAACATGATTTGATAGTGATACGACTAGGGGGAGCGGTTTGAAACTGAAAGAGAGGAGAGGAAGAAATTCTTTACTCAGAGAGTAGGGAAGCATTGAAACAGGCTGCCAGGAGAAGCAGCCTGTGATTTCATGATACCAGTATTATCACATATTGCAAAATGAATCCGACAGCTTTCACACAGCATCAACTATAATTAGACTCATGAGGTGCTATCTGTCATGTGACAGAACAATCCTGTAATTTGGCTCTTCTTGAGGACCTGTCTTCTATAAACAATGACCAGCTGAACCATAGTAGAAGATCTTACATTCCTACTATGATATATTTGTACTTTGAGCACTTTTGGGGCATTTTCTCATGAAAGCAGCAAAGAGGTAGGTGTGTATTCTTGTTGTTGGAGTACTGCTGCAGTACCACAGCATGATGTTGCTTAGCCCCTTTGATTGATATCCATTTCCATTTTCAGGTCGTCCTTTTGATCTGCATCTTCTTGTAAATAATGCAGTCAGCAACGTGATCTGCACCATCACCTATGGAGAGCGTTTTGAGTACGGTGACGAGACATTCAAGAAGCTGTTAACTTTGTTTGAAAATTCCCTCAATGAAGAAGTAGGACTCCTGGCAGAGGTAACACGGAAGCATATTATGTTCTGTAAGACACTGACCTCAGTCACTTAAGAGTACTGTGTTTCCATTATATTCATTTTTAGATCGCATAAAACCTTGTCTCTTTCTGTATGGTCCTGGCCTGCCAGCTTCTTCATGTGGTGCCCATATTGTTGCGCATCCCTGGACTGCCACAGAAGATCTTTCGAAGCCAAAAGGAATACATAGACTTCACAGAAATGCTCATAGAGAAGCACAGGGAGACCTGGAACCCTGCTTACACCCGAGACTTCACTGATGCATTTTTAAAGGAAATGGCAAAGGTACAGAGAGATCAACAGAACCTCACAGACCTGAGGCAATTCCTCTTGTTCTTTACACTTGTCGATAGAAGTTGGCTTCACTTATACAGTTCTATAAAGACTGCTACAAATCTCCTACCTCGTCATTCCACGTCATTCTTGAGAAATTAGGTGTTCAACTCTCCATGCTGTTGATTATCCTCAAAGATCATATAATCTGCTGTTTCTGTCCCCAACTACCACACTCTTTCTCCACTCAGTGTCTGGCAGCTATCTTTTCAGCCTGCATTGCTTTGCAGGCATATAAGGGGGTGGATCTGAGCCTGATCCAATTCCTTCTTGTCACTTTTCTCTGCTGCTCACAGTAAGCGTCAGTGTTCTGCTGAGTTGAGAGCACAAGGCATTCGCTATAAAGGTATAGCTTTCACCTCTCAGGATACAGGAATACAGTGGTATTGGCATGATTTAAGCACATCAGTCATACACAGACCACCACTTGTGCTGTGCTCTACTCTGCCAGTGAATTCCTGGTCAGCAAAAATGGATCCTGGTCAGCAAAAATGCTTCTCAGTACTTCTCTGAAAGAAAGTCTTCTCACTCAAAGTGTCTTTGCTCCTGTCACATTCTCGTTTTCACTCTGCAGGGTAATGAGGCTGAAGAGAATGGTTTCAATAAACGCAACCTTAGCATGGTGACATCAGACTTGCTTGCAGCAGGTTCTCAAACCACCTCTACCACCCTCCGATGGGCGTTCCTGTTCATGCTTTTGTACCCAGAAATACAGAGTAAGTGAGACGACAAGTAGAGGTGTAGTATGTTTCTCTGAACACTCATTTCACTGCAGGGACAGTGCACATCTCAGCATATTTTGGGCTTTTTGCAATAAGGAACAGCTTTGGGAATTGCTCTTCTGGGAGAAACCAGGAGAAACACCTCCCCAAACACAGCATCCCCAGACACAGCTGTTGTAGCACAGCTCAGGGAGACCGGTAGGGAACATGCTGAAAAGACTGGAGTTGGAAGGCCATGTTCAGGTTCCCTCTCACTGAAGGCTCCTGGGGGTCTTTCAGTGACCATGGTACCCTCCTTCCTGTATTTGGAATAGACACTAAGCTGTTTTAATTCTCAAATGCTGCATTCCACAAGTACTCTTTCAGTCACATTGAGGAGGGGAATGGTAAGAATATCAAATGAGAATTTCATGAAAGGCACTGTGCACAATTAATAGTTGTAGAGATCTTTCTGAGCAACTGAAAAAGTGTATTCCCACTAGATTCTGCTCCTTTCTGTAACTGTCTTGCTCTCACCCAGTGCCTGCTCAGCTCATGCTGCCAGATTTCCTATATCTTGTACCAGACCCTTCTGATTACTTAAGGAAGCTCTAATTCCTAAGCTGTGCTGCTTTTAGGTAAAGTTCACAAAGAGATTGATAAGGTGACTGGAAGAAACCGACCGCCCACCATGGCAGACCAAGCAAACATGCCCTACACCAATGCCGTCATCCATGAAGTACAACGCTGTGGGGACATTATTCCTATGGGGCTACCTCACATGACATACCGGGACACCGAGCTTCAAGGTTTCTTCATTCCCAAGGTGTGTGTGCCCAGAAAGCCAAGGCAGCATCATTGCTCCAGGGAGAGGCCAGGCCTGCAGTGACCCCAAACAACTCTGCAGCTTTGTCCCTCCTGCCCCAAAGCACAGTCGTGGAGAACACTGACTTAGGAAATTTGAAATACTAAGATCACACAGATGGTTGCACTTGTGCTCTGGTTTACACTGCTTATGCGGGAACCAACTGCAGAGGCATTTCAGGAGCCCCCTCTCCTTGCAGCACTGGCTGTAAGGCACGCCTGAGATGTTTTTTAAGCCACACAATGACTCCCCGATGTTTAAAACAGGAGCTTTGAGGTTTTCCATGTCCCATGCAAAGGTTGGGCTTTGAGGTCTGTTAGCTTTTCCTTTTCAGCTATAAAACGAGTCCTTGGGTTCTGAGAAGCAGAGGCTGTTTGCAGGCAACACATGTTACTGGAAGTGTGCAAATGTTGCACCTCTGTTTTCAGTAAGATCAAGAAGAAGAGCTTGGTGCCTTATTTGAAGCACCTAACAATGACTGCATTAGGTGGGAGAGACAGACTAAAGAGGGACCAGCACTGATCTATCATGCCAAGATAATTCTGCGGTTCTCATATAAGTTGCTTCCTCTTGTGAACGAGTGCAGGGGACGACAATCATCACCAACTTGACTTCCGTGCTGAAGGATGAGACAGTCTGGAAGAAGCCAAATGAGTTTTATCCCGAACACTTCCTGAATGAGAATGGGGAATTTGTGAGACCAGAGGCCTTCTTGCCCTTCTCTGCAGGTAAATCCAAGGGGAGGGTCTAGCTGCAAGTCTGGTGCACGGCAGGAACGGTGGTGATGTGCCTCCCGGGAAGTGGAAGTCCAGGGTTGTCCTTTTCCTCATCTTTGCAATTGAGCAGGTGGTAAGACCTGCAGGGACCCTTTCAACCTCAACTGTTCTGTGACTTTGTGCCTGACAGACATGATGCACCAGCTAACTAAATAGCTGTGAGTGCCTCAGCCTTTTTCACATAGTCAACAACCAGTCCCACTTTCTTCCTTCTCTCCATTCAGTGCAAGGAAGCTTCTGAATTGTGTTTTGCTCCATCCTTTGTCTACACACAAAGGGTGCTCATCCCACAGTGATTTCACTGTGATTCAATATTCTCTCCCACGGAAATTCCTTCTTGCAGGTCGACGTGCCTGTCTGGGGGAACAACTGGCCAGGATGGAGCTCTTCATCTTCTTCACCACTCTTATGCAGAAGTTCACCTTTGTGATTCCTGAAGATCAGCCCAGGCCACGGGAGGACAGTCACTTTGCTTTTCTAAACAGCCCACACCCATACCAATTGCAAGCTGTGCCAAGATAAGTGTGCACCGCTTCACTCAGAAACCACCACTAACACTGTCAGAAATGTTGCAGGGCTGTGCCAGGATCTAGTTATCCCAAGTCTGTGCAGATGTCCCCAGCTGTGTAAAGTAAGGATGTGGCCCAGTATCCTTAGCTGAGCTTAATTTCAATTTCAGTCCTGAATTCCTGCGTATTGAAACACAAAGAGTACCCAGGGTAAGAGATATCGTGTTGGTTCTAAGAGCAAAAAAAGTTTGGAAAATACTGTAAACTGCTGCTGGACACCTCCCTTCCCCACTGGCCACTCTCTGCCTCTAGTGCTCTGCCTCTGCGTGCCATCCAGGTGCCCAGGAGGACTCTGGCTTGATTCCTGCAAAAACAAGGCCCGCAATGTCAAGTGATTTGGCATGTGCTGTTGGTGGGCAGGATGAGAGCTTCAGCACTTACAAAGTCACATTCCCCTGCAGGACTACACATGGCTTCAGACTAGTGCTCCTGATCGTGCGGTAAACATAGACTCCATGCACTACTTCATGTATACTGTGTACTGCAGTAAATTGCATACATACTGCATTACCTTCATTTACAACCCTAAAGAAAGCAAAATGCCTGCCAACTAGGACTCCAGCAGGAGGAAATACCAAGGAGTACCTAAATATGATCTTTCAGCTCCAGAAGCAGGTAGTTTCTAAAAGACAAAAATTCCCACAAATGGATTTCAAGATGATTTCTGGTGCCTCCATACTATCTCCTATCCAGTTAGCTCGCCAAAACTGCTTTTTCATCATTACTCAAAGTCAGGGAAGGTTTCAAACTCATAGAGTTATATCGCTTGAATGAGCAAGCTGCAGGTGTCACAGGCGGTTTGCTTTTTCTTCCTGCAACATTGCTGACCAGTTGTTTTGCAACATGTTAATCTTGTTCGTGCTGGCAGAAACTTTGGCACGAATGCATAATTGCAACATAAAAGCCTCTGAAACGGTGCACGCATGCTCACATTTCTCTTTCTCATACTAATTTTGGGACCTACGAAATCCCCATTACGTATGTGATTACCTACACTACTGTTAAGATTTCAGCTTCAGCGGAACTGCACACTGATGGTTTTCACCTACAAGACAATCTGACAAAATAAATGATCTGGAAGGGCTGTCCTGCCTTGTCTGACCGTCCTGCCCTGTACCCACCTCGCGTACTCACGTGCCATTCCTCTCCTCGTCGCCAGCACCCGCAGTTCCTTCCAGTCCTTTCAGTGCTACCTTTCAGGTCCCTTCAACACCACTGAACTGAAGGTGGCCGTTTCCATAAAGCAGCCAGCGCGCAGCCATGCTTTGGAGGAGTGTTCAGAGACCTAAACTGAAGGGCCCCAGCAGCCTCGTGTCTGCATACGGGTATATAATGGGCCGTTCGAACGACGCAATCGCCGAACAGCCGAGGTTGCATCTTCCGCACACATCGGGGCACGGAGTCCAACCCCTGGCCGCATCCGGCACGGAAGCCGATCAGATGGTGCCGCTGAGCGCTGCCCAAGCCCGGGCAGGACGAACGGGCCGCGACACGGCCGAGCTCCTCCGAAGGCCGCAGCCCTGTGTGTGAGAGCCGTCCCGCCCTGCCCCCGCCCTGCCCCCGCCCCGCCGGTCCCCACCGTCTCCTCACGCCCGCCGGGCCCAACCGCTAGGAGGAGCTGACGGCCGCCGCCCGGCGAAACTGGGCCCCGCCCACTCACTATTCCTCCTCCCGCACTCCCGGCGCCGATTGGTCGCCTCTGCACCAGTCAGGCCGGGCATGCTGGAGAGACAGCGCGGCGGGCCAATAGAAATGCGAGCGCTTTGTCAGGGGCGGTGGGGGCGGGCGTGCCGCGAGCCGCAGTGTGGGACGGGGCGGCCGCGGCAGGATGGCGGTGGCGGGCAGAGGGGCTGCGGCCGTGAAGCCCATCTTCAGCCGGGACCTGGGCGAGGCCAAGCGGCGCGTGAGGGAGCTGTACCGCGCCTGGTACCGCGAGGTGCCCAACGCGGGTGAGGGCCCGGCGCCGGCCGCGCGTGCGCAGGAGGGGCCGCGAGCTCAAGGTCGTAACGGCCGCCTCGCAGCCCTTGGGGGCTGAGCGGCGCACCGGGAGCGGGGGGCTGCGGCTGTCGGTGGAAAGAGGAAGCCATGCGGACGGTCTCAGGCGCTGTGCTGTTTCCGCAGTGCACCTGTACCAGCTGGACATCACGGTGAAGCAGGGCCGCAACAAGGTGCGGGAGATGTTCATGAAGAACGCCCATGTGAAGGACCCGCGGGTGATCGACATGCTGGTTATTAAGGTAGAACCGAGTTATTCCTGCCGGGGGCGGGAGGCGGGCTTTGGGTTTTGTTTGGCACTTCCCCTGGCTCAGTAACACACTCACTGTGTCCGAGGGATGCAGCCTGTTGGGTTCAAAATGTTGGTCGTGCACCAAGTGTAAGGCTCTGAAAGAGGCCTCCGTGGCAGTAACGGATCTTTGCTGTTGTAATGCATGGAAATCCTTTCAGCCAAGAACTGCTGTGCTCATCTGCTGGATTTCCTGCATTTTGAGACAGCTACCCTATCTTGAAATGGTTCAAAACAAAGTCTGCATAGTCCTGGATGATACAGTGGGTGAAACTTAAAGGCACTCAAAAAGCACATAATTTTCAGGGCTGTAGGGACCTCTGGAGATCGTCAAGTCCATGCCCCTGCTAAAGCAGGTTCCTACAGTAGTCACACCGGAAAGCACAGAGGCAGATCTTGAATCTCTCTGGGGAATCTCCACAATCTCTCTGGGCAGCTTGTTCTAATGCTCTGTCATTTTCACAGTAAAGAAGTTCTTCCTCATGTCCGTATGGAACTTCCATTGCTCCAGTTTGTGCCTGTTGCCCTTGTCCTGCCCATACCACCAAAAACAGCAGGGCATCATCCTCATTAGCAGAACGTTATTTACTCAGTTTTACTCAGTGCGCTTCACTATGTTCTGTAGTGCAGAATAATGAGAATTGAGCTACACCTGAGAGTCGGTCTGAAGTTCTTCTGTCTCTACACAGGGGAAAATGGATCTCCAAGAAACCATAAATGTATGGAAGCAGAGGACACATGTCATGAGGTATTTTCATGAGACGGAAACCCCACGACCTAAAGACTTTCTGTCCAAATTCTATGAAGGCCACGATCCATGAAACAGATTCTGTGTCTTCTTGTCTTGTATTACAAATAAAGTTCTACATGATACAAAAAAATCTGTACAGACAGATTGTATACCAGCCTACGAGACTGTTCAATAAATCTGAATCTGGTATTTATGCAAGCTGCTGTAACATCCATGGAAAGTTGACTCCTAGCTTGTAGGAGTGTGTATTTTCAGTGAGTGGAGCTTGTCCTGGAGTATCTGAATAACCACAGCAGCCCAGTTGTGGAGCTCAGCCTGCAGTCCTGTGCGGAGGCAGCAGCTCCTTGGAAGACAGCAGACAAGAGTAGGCCTTCAGAGAGCCATTGCAGCTGCCAAAGTATTGTGCTTGAGACCTGCTCTTATTCATGCTGTGCTTTCGTTGACCTTGTGTTTGACACTGTTCTCCATTTACTTCCTAGCAGAGAATGTCTTGAAATCCAATAGGCCAGAAAAGCCCTCTGTACCCTAAAAAGATCAGTAGCTTCCATTTCCCCACTGTAAAATTTAGTTACACAGGGCTGAAGAGACAGAGCCAGGAACGGGCAGGAACGACAGCAGGAAAATGCAGCAATGAGGAGTTTGGCAATATAGAAAACAGGCACGACTGACTCCCAAGATCACATGAACTGAGTCTGGAGAAAGAGAGCACAGCTCTGATATTGAGTGACTCAAGATCCTGCCAGCTGCCTTCAGCCACAGCTGTTGGGGTTACTGAGGTAACAGGCCCCTCTCTTTCTGTCGCTAAGCTAGAGAGTTAAACAGCAAATAAAAAAACTGCCAAATTACAAGTGCTGAGTTTAAAAATGAAATCACTTGTCTTTGAACTTTCAAGGTATTTGAAAAAACAGCTGGTGTGCAACTTGTCTGATGTGACTAAAGGTACTAGCAACAGAGAAGCCTTTAAGTCTTGTGTGATGATTTAATAGCAGTAGTAAATGCTTAAGAAAATAAGGGGGGGTTGAACTTTACAGACAGTTAAGAAAACGTATTAGGGAGAGAGAAGTAGTGAATTATCTTGGCCTTACAAGGTACTTGGAGCCTCAGTTTCACCTTACATACATTTAATGCTATAAAACACATTAGCTTAGTTTGCCTCTCATGTTCTTCACCTTTTATGTTACCAAAGCTATTCAGAACTGTAACTGCACTGACAATGCTGTACTGAATTCAGTAATGCAGTTTATCAGACATACCTGCATAGTGCTTTGTTGCATGTTGTTTCAACAGCAGTGCTTTTGTCAGTATGCACTCTGATCTTTTAACAGGGCTGTGCTTTGGGGCTCCTGCTTTCCTTAGGATTTCTGTTATAAACCGTAAACTAGTGCTGAATTACAGAAAGGGCTCCAAAGAGAAAATAAATATGAAGAGAGACTACTCACTGGAACAGACTTGTGGAGGTAGAAAGGGTAAGATAGAAGTTCTAGGTCATAGCCAATAGTCTAAAAAAACACACACAAAAAAAACCCTCAAATGTCTTGTTCTTTAATATATTGCTAATATAAGGAATCCCACGCAGTTCTTTATGAGGTTGGAGTGCGTATGTGCAAGGATGCAGAGCTTATGAAGCACTTATTTCAACCCTGATCTATAGATTTTTCTTATACATACAAGTGCAGGACATTCACTGGCAAAGGGGATGTAATGCCCCCCCGTCCCATTGAAGAAGGACAGAACATAGTGCAGATGCTGGCACTATGTCTGTCTGTCAATGGTTTCCTCCCTTCTGTTCTTCCAATTACAGTTCTGCAAACAGAGTAAAAAGTATTACTCTTCAGATATATGCCATAGCAATCTGCAGCCATATTCCTTCCCACAGACTAGGCAAGGTGGCAATTTGCAACAAACAAGTTTCTAACGAGCAACAAGCAAACAAGCAAACTTGTTTTTAGCTGCACACTGCACACATGACTATAAAACAACACTGCTGGATATAATGAAATAACACCCAAAGTAAAATCTTACACAAAAGGACAAACCAGATGGAATCACATCAGATGAAGGAAAGTACATACATACATCCGGCCTACTTGCATACAGAGGAACCAAAAAGCTCACAGCCAGAGGCAGCTGTACATGTCCTCAGCTTCAACCACAGCTGCTGCCTGCACTCCCTACAGGGCTGTGTCCCAGCACCATGGCAAACAGAAGCACCAGTAGTGGCACCCCCGGAGATGGTCGTGCCATTCCCGTACCCTTTAGTCATCGTCGTCGTCATCCTCTGGGACGAAGATGTCGTGTTCTTCCAGCAGGGCTGCGAAGTTCTTACTGATCTGCGTCCCGACATACAGGAACGGGATCACAACGCTGAACACTCTCAGGAGGCCAAAGGGCGTCTACAAGGATCCAACCGAGAAATGATGCATTTTTTTCAGCCAGCGTCACCGTGGATTAACTTTTGCACCTCTATGGGAGCTTCGGGCCAGGCTAAGCCGCGGGAAGGAAGGCCCAGCAGGGGGCAGCGGCGTTTCACCCCACGGCGAAGGGCCCAGCAGCAATGAGTACCACCACTTCATCGCCCCGAAACCGGCCGGCGCGGAGGGTCCGGGATGCCGTTCCCGGCCCCACCCCGCCCGCAGCCGCACCGCTCATTGGCCTAACGCCCGCCACTCAATCCCTCTGCCCCCGCCCACAACGGTAACTCCCGCCCTGATTGGCCACCGCTGGACCTACGACGCCCCCGCCGCTCTCGCCCGCTCGCTCACCTTAACCGGCTTAGGCAAAATGGCTCCGCTGCGGGTGACCGTGGCGCTCCGGGACGGCACCAGAGATGCGGCCGGAGCCTGGCGCAGCCCTCCGCCCCGCGCCCGTCCCGCGCCCGCCACCAGGAGCCGCCCGCCCACCGCTGCCATCGTCCCTCGCTGTCAGGGCCGGGCCGGGTCTCGACGCTCTCGCGAGAGTCGAACGGAGGGTGGGAGGCGGTGCCGCGCATGCGTGGCTGCGGCTTTCCCACTCAGGCTCCCCCCCCCCGTTTTGACGGAACGCCTTATTGCGCCTGTGGGAGTTTTGGTGGTGACGCGGAATTACGAATACCAAACTGTTTATTCAATTAGATAGCATAAAATACAAACGGTAACTGAAATGTATAATAACACACACAAGTTCTGCATGTAAAAAAAGGCTCGCGCAAACCCGCCCCTTAGAAAGAAGAACACAGTCTGTAGTTAGCATAGGAGCACCTCCACAGAGGGCTGCTTGGGCGAACTGCCTGTAGTGTTACCTGTGCTCCGCAGGCACCCCGGCACCCATCAGCACGGGGTTTCTCTCAGGTTCCTGGGCTGAGGCAGCCCCTTTATGAACACAGTGACTGTGGTACCACCAGGTGTTTGGCCATCCCAAACCACAGTGCCATCAGTTGGCTGCTGGTGGCCACTGGGAGACTGGATCAGCCTTACCTCTGGGGCTTGACTTCAGAGCAAAGAGAAAGCATCACAGTGGCTGTTCTATGAAGCATACATGTGCACACAGTGATACGTTGTGGGCCTGAGCTGAAATCCTGTCCCCAGAAAGCTGCAAGGATTCCATCCATGTTTTGTTTGACAGGTTGGGCTCCCTTACTGGCAAAGCTGTCCTGGAATCACAGCCTCGCTCCCGCTTTTGGTCTTCAAATTACTTTAAATTAAACCATCCAGATTCAAGCATTTTTTTCCCATCACTTTTGCAATATTACTTTAGGGAAAACCCTCCAAAATCCCTTCAGGACTGTAAGAAGAGCAGCCTTGCAGCTTTAAAACACTCTGTCTCCCATTGCTAAGGATCCATCTGGCCACACATTTTCTATTAAAAATAATAATAATAAAACAATAATAATAACAATAACAATAAGAAAAGGTGGGAAGTTCTTATTAGCCCCAAAAGAGGCGTCCCTGCTCTGCAGTGGGGCTGAGAGGTAGCCCTGACCGAGTGCACCCGAAATCCCACAGCACTTTTGAGGAGCACTACCAAAGGTGTCAGGCTGCACACAGATATTTGGCATGATTCTGCCGTTTTCTTCTCAGTGCTGCAGAATAAAACACAGCGTTACTCCAAATGCAGTCAGACAGGAAGGAAAACCCATCTCCTCATTTGCAGGATTTAGGATTTAGCTGGAATATTTGCTAAAGCAAAGCCAGGTGGTGTGGATATTGTCTGGTTTAAACAGGGCAGATTAGGCATTAAATATAAGCTCCTTAGCAGTGTTACTGGTGCAATCCTGGCTCATTAAAACAAACTAAGCTTCTTTAAAAAGTGAAACTGCCTGCATATGAATAGTGCTGTTTCAGGTCCAGTTCTGACTGAACTGGCTTTGTTAATCTATTTTCTCCTTCAAGTCTCTCCTCCTTCTTGAGTCTCATGTAGGCACTCCCAGTACATTTTATTTTGGAAGGTAAATCTTTGCCATCAAACTGTCTTATATGAGTCTGAGACATCAGGAAGATTCTTTCTGTATTGCATTAAAAAAGAAGAAAGAGGCAATCTACATCTGACCCAGCCCTGAAAACCCACAGTGGGGAGGTGGCACCATTCCTGATGTTGCTGTTGGGAATCACAACGACTTCTGATGGGACACAGACCCACTCCTGGCCCTCCTGCTCCTGTTTTCTCATTACTGTTTTCTCTTAAAAAGCAAACAACAAAATCCTCCCAACCTTTAATTTCTCTGCTATGGAAAAATGCAGACATAAACTAGAGATTATTGGATTGCACCATTTGTATGTAGAGGTTACGTTCCCACTGCCCAATGTCAGACCTGATTTAAGGTCTGATGCTAACACACCATGGCTAGGCAGGAAGATTGTCATCCAAAACTACTAGAGGGATTTTCAAAGGCACCAAAAGTTAATGGAAGCCATTTGATTTCTGCCTCTGACAACCTCTAGAGGTTATAGCAGAGTGTAAGGCTGAGCACATTCAGGTCCAGAAAGGTAAATGATTACCCATGTCATGCTATGGCACAGCCTGCTGTTTCCCTAGCATCACTCCTTAACAGAACAGGGCAATAAAAACAAGCTTAATGCTGTTAGAGGAGAAAAAAAGGCAGTTTTGTGCGTTTTTCTGCTTTGAAAAGCAGCCCTTGCCAAGAAGATAAGGAAAGATATTTATAAACAACCACTACAGAGGATTCTAATCCTTGGGCTGCTGCACTCAGCACTGCGTAATGT